GATAAGAGCCTCTAACTAGTGTCAGGGAAATCTGCATTTTCATGGTTATGGACGTACTCTATTCCCACTCTCCTGAATATGTCTCCTTTTCACTTATCTAAAGTAGGTAATCTCAAGACATCACAGGTTATCCACAAACTAATCAAATGTTTTCTGTGAGAAAAATGATTGCACTGATTGGTAATTCTTCTCTTTCACTTGACCATTCTTGGCAGATTAATGACAAGAGGCAACATACAGAGAAAGGAGAAGAAAGAACGCTAATCAATATGGGTGTTGGTTGTTTTGCATATATTTTTCATTAAATTTTTGCAATAGCCCCATGAAGTGGTTATTTCACACCCATTGCAGAAATGGGGGAATAAATTATCAGAGAACTTTGAAATTTTCCTTAAGATGTCAGAAAGTAGGGTGGCGCCCTTTGGCTCAAGGAGTAGGGCACCAGCCCCATACACCAGAGGTGGTGGGTTCAAACTCAGCCCTGGCCAAAAACTGGGAAAAAAAAAAAGATGTCAGAAAGTAGCAGAGCTGAGATTAAAATCCAGAGTTCTCTGACCTAAAGACACTTGCTCATTTTAACCACATAAGAACCAAGAATGCCACCCAAGCCATTGAATGCTCCTTTCCCAGGTATCCAAGCAACCAACAATTATTTACCCTCTGCCAAGGGTGCTGAGATCTATTGGGAACACAGAGATAAGTAAAACACAGTCCCTATTCACCGAGTATGAACTACCTGTTTGGCAAGATAACCTGTTTGCATAGAAGAGACATGCAAAAAGTTAAATAACCTCAGAGGGCAAGAATGTAATCATTGTCATTGCCTTAATTATCAAAGTATCTAGTTCTATGATTTCACTGTGAGCTTAAAATTTCACAGTGAAAAGGAGTGTGTATGGTGTAATTTGCTCAAGTTAAAGAAAACGTGAAATGGAATTAATGTAATAAGCCATTTTTTCTCATTTGATTATTTTAAAACTTGGGAACCTCATTAACCTTTCGGTGTATTTCCTTTCTTCTTCAAAACATTTTGCCTTGTTTTTGTATTGTTTTTTCTAATTAAACATGATACTATAAGCAACTTCCCACATTAGTGGAAGTTCTTTATCCATGTAAGGATTAATGACAGTATGGTAATCAGAATAGAAAGATCTGAAGAGAGAGAAAGTATTAAGTCCCGCAGCGCAGGGGACAACATGATCCACCAGGAGGCTCACTTTGGGCCAAGTCAAAGTTGGCAAGAACTGGGTTCCAAATGGTCCTGGAGATGATGGGGTTAACTAGAGGAGCCCTCGGGTACATGCCATAACTTCTGCCCTGTCTATCCACTGGGCAAATCAAGGCTGCCACCTGATCTGTGGCTCTTTCCAAAGGGCTGCTCTGGGGGTCAAGTGAGTAGATGCCAAGGAAGGTCATTCAAGCATCAGAAAATCCATTTCCAGAAGCAGATTTGTTTACTAACTGGGAAGGCATCCACTGAAACAGAGGAAACAAAAGAGTGTTTCTTTACAAACCGGTCCCTGACCCTTGCCTTTAGCAAGGGTTCCCACTTTCTTTGGCAGCCTTTCTCCTGCCCTATGGCCAAGTACAACAGAGCTGGCAGAGTGCAGGTCCTCACTGGTTGTGTAAGCCTGGCAGCTAAAGTCAAACACACCATCCTGGAATGAAAGTTTGAGGACATAGAAATAAAGCAGCACTTTATCCAAGAACTCAAGGTTTTCCAGAGTTATATTTGAAAAAGCAGTAACTAGGTTAAAATCTGACATTATGATACAAAAGCAGCAATTTGAGTACAGTCAGCTGCTTAATAGCTCCTATTCCCTGAATGCTGAAAGCCTCTCATACAAAATGGAAACCCACTTTCAGCCGAGCTCAGTGAAGGAGTGAGATGATTTGGGGAATTTTCATTTTCTATCAGACATTATTCTTTTCTTCAAACCTTTTGATCTTTTATTAAGTCTGCTATTTCATAGATGCTGTTGAGCATAATTTCGGGATTTTCCTCCTTGTGAAATTTTTCAGTGTCAAAGTTAGTGCTCTTTTTATCTTTGATGCTCTCAAGATGCAAGGCACTGCCAAAGAGAACTTTTCTTTAACTTGGAAGACCCAAAGCCTCTGTGAAATTAAATAACTAAAGTTTCAGTGCAATTCCTAGGGGTTATTTTGTCTAGTGCAATAAATTTTAGTACACCAAACAATTCTACAGAGGTTACAAATGTAATCCAATATGTATTATTTTTGTCTTCTCATGGGAATTTTTATAATTTTATGATTGGTTACAGAGATTCCTAAAGTTACCTGGCTAAAATATTTTTAATATAGATACAAATTATCTACCTTTTGGCTTAATGTTTACCTAATTAGAATTTCTTAGTCTTTGCTATTTTAACATAAAATTAACAGTAATCATAATTGTCATTAATTTTTGCAGTAACTTACAATTATAACAATAAATGTGTATTTCTACCTCAACTGAATGATAGATTTTGAAAACATAAAGCATTGAGGAAACTGTTACTGCCGATTGTATCTAGAATGCTCACCTATATTTGAAAGAAAATATTTACATACTTATAATAATTGAATGGTTTGCCTTTTTCTAATACCGATTAGAAACCATGATTTACACGCCATGTGATCAGCAATTATGGGGAAGTTTAGGGATACTGGAAATGATGCTGAAATGTTCAGTTATTTGGCCATTTCTTTAAACTTGAGGAACAAACTAACACAAATTCAAGCATAGGCCATCAAAAGAATTTCATGAAAAAGTATTGGTTTGAACCCTACCTGTGCTATTTTACTTTTATACATGTTGATTTGACACCTATTATGTACCCAAAATTTAGTCAAATACCAGAGGCACATAAATGAGTAAGAGAACAGGGCTTGTGCTCTAGGTGCTTGTAGTCGGGGAGACTGAACAGTTTGCATTCAATCAGAAACAGACTATAAGCACCTAGAGCACAGCCCTGTTCTCTTACTGTTCAATCAGTTCAATAGTTGCTTTAAACTTCGGTATCCTGATCTTACTCTGCAAGGATGTTAATAAAGGTCAAATGAGATAATGGGTGCAACTGATAACTCTCCTGCCAGTTGCATAATGCGTTCATTATTATTCTAATTGTTCTAGACACCCCTAGGGCAGATAGTACAGTCATGGGAATGTGCTTGGAGTCCAGTGCCTGAGCTTGAATCCTGGATAGCAGTAAGGCTTTTGGGCATGCAACTTAATCCCTCTGCTCTTCAATTTATTATAAAATTATACTACAGTATTGCCCCTGGAATCCGAACGCCTTAGAACTCAAACAACTTAGAATCCGAACAAAAAATTTGGCAAATTTTGCCTGAATTCTGAACGCTTCTCAGGAATCCAAATACCCAGGACGTTGTTCATGTGTTTTTGTGCATTTGTTTCCCCAGTGCTTGGGCCACCCATATGCTTTGTCATTCAGTTCATTTCAGAAACTGTAATTTTATGCTTCTGTGCCTGTTTTGTGGTTTTTTTTTTTTTTTTATATGATAACAACTAAGTATTTTCCCATGGGTCCTAAAAAGCGTAATGAGGAAAGTAAGAATTAAAGGAAAGCTGTCAGAACTACAGTTGAAGTTGAGAAAGATCTCGCTAAGCACGAAAGCGGTACACATGTGGCTGATCTCGCGTCTATGTTCCGGATACTAAATTGACTGCATGATTATGAAAAATATAGAAGCTATCAAAGCAGCTGATGTGGCAAAAGGGGTTATAATGCAGACCTCTAGGAGATCAAAATGTATGGAAGAGATGGGCAAACTCCTTTTAGGTTGGATTAATGAAAAACAGCTGGCTGGTGATGTGATTTCTGAGACGAAAATTTGTAAGAAAGTCAATGTTCTCCACGATGATTTAGTGAAAGGCATGTCTGACACTAGTGCTCAAAATGAGGATTTTAAAGCCAGGAGGGGGTAGTTTGAGAATCTTAATAAAAAGGCTGGAATCCTTAGTGTGGTTATGGACAGAGAGGCTGCCAGTTCTAATTCTTCTAATTTAGAGACATCAGTTTAGTTTGTAAAGGAGTTTAAGGAATTTTTGAACAGTGAGGGGTATGTTTTGAAAGAAGTGTTCAGTTGTGACAAAATGGGCATTTATGTTTTTAGCTTTTTATAGTTTCAATTTTATTCATTTACATTTTCATTCAAATATTATTATTTTTAATATTTTACCTTAAAATCCAGTATATTTTGAAAATTTGAGTTTGTGGGACCAAGGAACATATAATCCAGTTTCTATTATTTTGAAGCAGAAAAATTGTCTTGGAACTTGAAACATTTAGAATTTGAAGGGGGTTCTGGAATGGATTAAGTTCTGGTTCCAAGGGATCACTGCGTTTATATTACTTTCTTCATTGACAATTAAATTAAATATAGATGTGTAGAATTCAGCATAGAATCTAGCACATAGTACCTATTCCATGGAGGTTAACCATTATTAAAATTCAGTGCAGTGTACCCCCAATTTAAAAATAAGGGTGTGCAGAGATGTTCACAACACGGTAAGTTGCACAGATGGGACTCAGCCAAATTGATCTGTTGCCAAAGCCTTTATTTTGCCCCAATATCTTGGGTCTCTGAAAATAATTTTATAAATATAACTGTTGGATAAATTTGAAGACTGTTTATTGGGTATGTCCTCAAGTCTAATTTCTTTGGTCTCCAGCCACATGCCAGACCATCAAAGTAAATCCTCCAGAGTGTAAATGTGGACTGGTGACTGTTCAGGACAATTTTTAATTTGGTCTCCAGCTGCCTCACCAGTGAGGGGGGCCCGTTTCACTGAGTTGAGACAGGAATCTCGGCTCAGGTGAGTGAGGCAGGCTCACGGAAGACTGTGAAGCTGGATCGCTCATTAGACCGTGAGCATTCTGGCCTTCTCCCTCTTTCGGAGCCAACCTGGAAAGCTGAGCTCATTGTCTCTGATTTCTTTGTGTGTTTAAGTCAGTTTGCAGAATTACTTTCTTACAATGGCAGAGAAGTCACAAGGATCTGACAGTCCGCAAGAAGGCCTGGAAAAGGGCAAGAGAAGGACCCTGAGGTCCACCAAGAAGGCGTGGGTCCCTTTGGACGAGCAGCTGCCCCCTGGCTCCGAGGAAAGCCAGGGTCTCCCCATTCCTACACTGGGTGAGAAGGGTCCTCGGGGTTTTTTGAAAATGTCCTGTGGTGGGTGGTGAGCTATGTAGGGTCATTTGGCTGGGGGAAGATGATTTTGGAACAAGGACTTGGGTGGGAATATACCAGTGTTCCTGGCATGATGCTGGAAGTGTCTCCGAAATGGGCACCTCTGATGTCTCCTGCAGACACTCAGAACGCAGACCTTCTTGACAGGAGTAGACCAACTAAAGAATGACCTCTGTTTCCTTTCCACGCCAACATCCCTTCCTCATAAGCCATGTGGGGTTCATGCTGGAGGCAGGAGGAAGCTTTACAGGACATTTTACTGAAAGGGCTCTTATTTGTTTGGTCTCTCTCAAGGCATTACAGAGTAATGAGTAAGAAAACCCTTTCCCCCACATCATGATGCACCTCCTGCATGCTTTGGCTTCTTTGCCCATCACCCAATTCATTCCATCCCTTCACAATAAGCACCTCCCAAGTCCACCTGGTGTTTTTTTTTTGTTGTTCCCCTGGTGAAGGGGAAAGCTCAGGTCCTCTGCTGTTTGGTTGGATAAAGTCAGAGAAAATCAGCCCAGAGTCCATGGTAGCCCATCAGAATGGAAACAGATATTTAACAGGACGTGCTGCCTTTCTACCCTCTGCTTTTGCCCGTTGGTGATTATTGAGTCCTGTGATAAAGATCCACCTTAAAAGACTGGTGCCTTTTTAACACAGGGTGCCTTTGGCAATCTGGGACTCTAGTGCAATTTGTCCCTGGAATGAATGCAAATTGGGTTTCTAACCTGGCAGAAAACTCCTTGCAAATAAACATCACTGGCTGGCTGCCTTAGGTAAATGTCGTGATTCAATAAGGAGAGGCTCTGTGGTGATTTATGTCCAACAAGAGAAATATAAAAGTTTCATTTGCTTTTTCACCCTTTGTACTCACACCAGGTAATTTAAAAATTATTCCATCATCTCTCTTGCTCTCCAGAGTTTTATTTTCCTTCTCTTTCACATTCTCTCTCTCTCCTTTAAAATGTTACAGTTTTTTTTTGCAAGTTTACACACACTTCTTTCTCAGGAAAGGCTGATCATGGAAAACAGGAGGTTTTGCCTTCAGGGGAAAAAAAAATGAATATGTGTATGGAAACATGTGACTAAACATGTAGGAAATGGAGCTATTGAACGGTGCTGGGAGACTAAGGTAGAGTCCTTTCAACGGGTTGTGCTTTGACTTACCGATCTGTTTCTTTTCTTCTTTGTAGAAGATTTCAAACAAGAAAGTATTCAACAGTGGCTGGACTCTGGACTCTAGTAAGTGTTTCTTTGTGCTTTATGCATTCTCTTTCAAAGATCCATGAAAACGATGTGGGCAACTCTGCCTGGACAAGTAAGAATTTTCATTTTAATTGGGTACTTGAAGAATTACCCTATTCTTGCAAAAGCTAAGTATCAATTTAAAAAGTACAAGATAGAATAGTATTTTAGACCCTGGCTGTTCACTGGCTTCCAAAAGTCCCTCTTAATAAAACTTAACTCTGCATTTGCTCTCATCAGTTTAATGAAAAAGCAATTTAGTATAATTGATTTACACACATTGTTTAACTCACAATACTTTTCTTTCTTTATAGTGTCTCTGTAAATGAAAACTTTCCGCAAGTCATTGACCACACTGGTAAGACAAGAGAACTCAGAAGCGGTTATGCTTTGTGGAGTTGTAGAGGGGATACGTTAAAATGTCCATGTGAATAAATCTTCCTAAAATGAGAATTATCAGAGGCTCCTAGAAAGGCACAAACCTCAAAAACCATGCATCGTAATTCCTTTGCTTGACCTAGAAGCCTGAGATTCAGAAATGATAGGTGTTTACTCAGCAGCAGGTTAGAAGCTGAAACCAGGGGTCAGCCAAATCATCAGACAGCTCAGACTGTGGCAGGAAACTCGCTGGGCTCTATGAAGTCATTGGCAAGGATGTAATTATGGCCATGACATTGTTTCATTTCCCTTGTACTATATTTACTTAGTCTCTATTTTTTATTCTTAAAATTACACGTATATCATCTCTTTCTAATGTTGTATTTGTTCTCAGGAAGAACAAATGCCAGGAACTGATAAGAACATTATAAAAAGAAAAAGAAATGTAATTATAAGTCTCACAGTTTCCATCTTCATTAAACAAAATTCCATATTTTATAGCCTCTAAGACCCCTCAATTATGAAATGTACTTACATTTTAAGTACCACTCAGAAAAAAACCAAACCTATTGACTACAAGACGTACCCTTATTTCATAAATGCTAAGATGTGAATAAAGTATGTTTTAAAATTGATGAAATGCCACTGTGTCTTAAAAAAATGACATAAATTAGGAGTTCAATGATTACAGGGGAAAATTATTAGTGTAAAAGTCACTTTGCTGGTTTTAATTATTTCACTTTCTTCACTGCCATCTTAAATTAAGATTGACCACTGGCTACAAACAAGTTTACATTGGGATTTTTCCCCCCTTTTAAAAAACTAGGTATATCATTAAAATTTCCTTCCTCACCAAACTGCTTTATTACTTTTAAAATTCCACAAACATAGAAATCTCTGATTTTTGCTAAAAATCAAATTTAAGGACATCTCTTTATAATAGTTTGGGCTAAAAAAAAAAAAAAAAAGCAAGACTTTAAGGAATGTACTCAGTACTTTATCCTCATATTTCCTCTTGCCCTGGTCCTGGCCAGAAGGCTGGCACTAGTTTGGGGGCCATCGGTAATTATATTAAAAGCTTTGCTTCCCAGAAATTGAAAATAAATCATGGACCTTCCTTCTCTGAACCCAATCAGTGAACTATAAAAGCACAGACAGGAGGTAAAGACCTGGATGAAGAAAAGGGCTAGCACCATGGCTCTGAGATCAGAAATGTACGGTTTCTGTTTGCCAGGTCCTTCATCTTCAGCAAGATTTTTAATAATAATGGAATAGCTTCTTACGGGTTTAATTGAGCCTTCACTTTTACCAGGCCCTTTCTCATCGATCATATTTTAAGCTCCGTAAAACCTGCGTAGTAGCATGGCTGGTTCTCATTTTTGTTTTGCAGGTGAAGAGTCTGGGGCACCAGGGGTTAAATGCTGTGATTTTTGGTTACAGATGGTTAGAGGCAGGTGGAGGAAATGGAGGCCCAGCCTTCTATTAATAGTAATGCCCACGTGTGCAGCCTCAGCCACGATAAAAGACTCACACTGAGCGTGGGGTAGACAAAAGCCACTAGAAAGGGTGCACACTAGAATAGCGCCAGAAACTGGTGACCTGGCCAGGGTGGCAGGGAGGAAAACCTGAAGAAATGAAAAGGAATTGAAGAGGAAAAAGAAAAGTTGTGATTCCTAGAGAGAAAATCCTGGCAAAACTCAAAATCCTGCTAGGATGTAGAGTACGTTAGTTAGCTAGGGTGGCTATAAAAGGTCACCACAAACATGGTGACTTCTAACAACAGAAACTTACTCTCTCCCAGTTATGGAGTCTGGAAGGCCAAAATCAAGGTGTCAGCAAACCTCATCTCCTTCTGATGGTTCTAGGGAAGAATCCTTCCTTGTCTCTCCCTAGCTTCTGGTAGCTCCTGGTAATGCTGGCTGTTTCTGGCTTGTAGCTGCGTCACTCATTCCAGGGCTCTGTCTCCAAGTGGCCTCATCTTATGTGTCTTCTCCTCTTCTTACAAGGATACCAATCCCTGGATCCAGGACCCACCCTAATCCAACATGATCTCATCTTGACTAATTATAATTGCAATGACCCCATTTCCAAATAAAGACACATTCTGAGCTTCCAGGGAGAAATTAAATTTAGGGACACTAGTGAATTGACTCCAAGTGGAATTCATTCTGAGGGCAATTTCCTTAGTGTTGGCTTCTGAGGCTTTGAACAGTAAGTGGCAACAGGATCCAAGTGTCTGTCCATCTTATAGGTGACCCAGTGGCCCCTACAGAAAGCCTTCTCGTGGGCCTCCCAGCCTTGGCCTGGGCCCACATAATACAGATAAGTAAAATAAGAATTTGGTGGGCGTCTTCCTGATTCCCTGCTGAGTCTTGTGATGGCCAAGGTGGGGCTTGGGCTTTTGTGGCCTTCATGCTCCCTCCTCTGTGGCTACCTAAAGTCTCTTTTTTACTCATCTAGAATCTGATTGGCTCATTTGCACCTTGTTCACCACCATTATGCCAGGTAAATCCCCTAACCCTTAGCACTGCAGCCTCTTCATCAGTATGACTGTGAGGAGAAATTAATGCATATGGAGGATGTCCATGATAGGCATACATTATCTTGTTTACCAGACCATTTTTGAGGTGAATATTATGGTTATTAAATTTTGCAAGGAGGAAAATGAGGCTTATAGAGGCCAAGTAAATTGGCCAAAGTCTCTCATTTAGTAGGTAAGGGAGTTGAGATTTGAAATTACAACGATCTGGCTATACAGCCATGCTGCCTCTCTAGAAAACTAATATAATTTACTATTTATGTTGTGCATGGAAATCCATGGGAGGAAAGCCCTGTGCTGTGGTTTGAGACCTCTAAAACTCATGTTGAAATTTAAACACCAATGTGACAGTATTAAAAAGTGGTACCTTTAGGAAGTAAACAGGCCCTAAAGGCTCTCTGCTCTTATGACTGGATTAATGCCATTATCATGATACTGAGTTAGTTGGGCTCCTGAGAGAGGAGCAAGTTGGAAGCCTGTGTTCTCCCTGTCACATGTGCTTCCATTCCTTTTTGTTTTACCATAGCATGACATGCAAGAAGGCTCTTACCAGATGCAGCCACTTGTTCTTGGACTTCCCAGCCTCCAGAATCATGAGCCAAATAAACTTCTATCGTTTATAAATTATGCAGTATGTGGAATTGTGCTTTAGTTGCAGAAAATGGTCTAAGACACCCTATATCAGCATCCTTGTTGGAAAAGTCAAAGTATGAGTGATGTGGGTGGGTGGCATTTCCCTCTCTAGGGCTTCTGACTCTTCTACACTAGCCCTCTGGGACCACAACAATCCTCTAGAATGTAAAGTTTTTCATCTATGTAACTGATTTTTTTATGTCAATCAAATGCCTATGGAAATGAAAAATGTCCACATCTAGATCTTAAAGTAAAAAAAAAAAAAAAGAAAAGATATGTTAAGCTGATCAAAGGGTACAAACTTATAGTTATGAAAATGAAAATGTTCTAGAGACCTAAAGTACAGCATGGTGAGTATAGCTAAAATAACATAGTATATACTTGAAATTGCCTAAGACAGTAGGTCTTAAGTCTTCTCACCTCAAAAAAAGGGGGGGAGCAGTAACTGTGTGAGGTAATTGATATGTTAATTAGCTTGATTACGATAATCATTTTACAATGTATATATATTTCAAAACAGGTTGTATACTTTGAATACATATAACATTTTATTTGTCAATTATACCTCAGTAAAGATGGGAAAAGACAAATAATTCACCTAGAAAATAAAAATAAATCATTCTCTTACTATTTCAGAAATTTTCAATTATGAGAACTTAAAATCTTAAAAAAATGATATGACTGAGAAATTAATGTCTAACAACTGGAAAGTACTCAGGTTATTGTGCCTTTCTGAGGTTCACTAAGTTTCTGATCTTTATACATTTCTGATCTCCGTACACTGCAGACTCAAAAGTAATAGTAGAATTATATAATTAGTAATTATTATTTATCAAGTGTTTATTATTATTAAATATATTAAAACTGTTGCCAAGTACACCTCAAACAAAATAGCAGGATGATTAACTTTATTATCTATTGAGGAAGCAGGATACTCAGAAAGGTTATAAAATTTGCTTAAAACCACACAGCCAATAAGATGGAGACATGATTTGAATTTAAGTCTGTGTGACTTCAAAGTTCATAATCTTTATACTGAAAAACTGGTCTATATCTGATGACTGTACACTGGTGTAAATTAGCTGCCATTAATTCCACCTCTAACTTTTCCTTACTTTTGTGAGCCAATCTTGGGTGGAAGAGAAAGATGTTCCCTACATGTAAGGTTAATTTCAGGATAATGTTGCACCTGTCTCTTCCTTTTAGAACTATATTTAATTAATAATTTTTCTTTGAACTAAAATCTACTCTATAAACCTCTAGGTTTCATACTCCAAAACTGGCATAAGTTTTGCCATAAGTTTTGCCAATTTTGGAGTATGAAACCTAGAGGTTCATTAAGTAGATTTTAGTTCAAAGAAAAATTATGGATTAAAAATAGCTCTAAAAGGAAGAGAGAGGTACAAAATTATCCTGAAATTAACCTATAAATAACACCAAATAAGAGTTATTTGGAATTTGGCTCAAGTCTCACCAGTCTGTAGATACCAATTAGGTTACAATAAAAGCAGTATCAAATTTGATGGATTATTATTGACCGATCTTGGTGTCACAGGGTTTATTTGCAATATATCCTTTGTAAGTATTTCTGAGAGTCATTAGATCGCTCATCTAGTTTCATAAATGAGTCCCCTTCGACTGTCTCAGCTATTACTCTACACACAGACAAGTCATTTAACACTTTTCAAACATCATATTCTTCTTCTGCTCCTCTGGGCACCACCACCATAGCCTTTGAGTTTTTGTGGTGCTCTGTTTCTTGCAGAATTTGTAGAAGCGCTCGTTTACATTACACTGCATGACTCTAT